ATTATATTCCACTTTGACTACCATGGCAACTTTCTGTGGAATTCTTTCATTTGTTGTTTCAGTGAAATCCAACACTGACAAAAATTCAAAATGTCCTCCACTAAACCACAATTTTCTGGATTCCATCAAAAGTCAACACGGCAAGGCAGTTTAGTGGTTTGAGTAGTGGACTACGACTCTGGAGACCAGAGTTTAAATCCCTACTCAGCCATAATACCCACTGGTGACCTTGGAACAAGTCAGACTTTTTTAGCCTAAGAGGAAGATAGAAGCAAACCCCATCTGGACAAATATTACAAACTAACTAACTAACCAACAAAAACCAGCAACCTCAAAACCATTATTGTTTACCTTAGGGTTGCCAACAACATTGTTTACCTCAGGGTTGCAAACAACAATCAATAGTGCTCTAACAGTGTCTTGACTTTAGAATTAAATCCCATGTCCAAGATATCTCATTGTGTATCTATAATCAAATGTGAAAATCCATAATACAGGTAGGCCCCAAGTTGCAAACATCCAACGTACAAATGACTCAAAGTTAAGAACAGGGGTGAGACAACAGGAAGTGAGATAAATCTACTCCTCGGAAGGGAAATTAACTCCTGGGAGAGTTATGATGGGAAAAAAGGTGTCTCCACTGAAGCTTTAGCACTAATCCTTGTTTCCATCACAAGCCAATTTTTCAATATTCAATTCTCACAGGGACAGAAAGTGAAGTGAAATCTTCTGAACAGGGGCACAGACAACAAAACAAATACCACAGGGGTTTTAACCCTTCCCTATGCAATCCAAAGCTAAGAAATGTATATCCTTCTTGTTTGTAACTTGAGGACTTACCTGTATTCCAAAATCTCACCCTCTCCCCCAAAATACAAAATACTTCTGAACTGAAGCATGTTGGTTAAGGGATGACCAATCTGTATTTCTGTATCATTTTCCATCCCACAGGGGCTCCTGAAGTGATGAGCAAATAAAAACCAATTAATACAAAGATATAACAGTTTTAAAACACATTAAGATACTCTTTAACACTCATAAAAGCAGTCTAAAAATAATGCTTAACAATAAAAGAATGTAATATGCAGCTAAAAGGGAAATTAGCGTAAACATAAACAATCTTACTTAAATATAAGGAATACATTACATCAATCAGTTACAAAGAAGTAAAAAATAGCAATGGATGCTATGGAACCCCCGAAGGCACCAGCACTCTTTGGCTCTTTGGCAGAGAAGGCCAAAGACTTTGTAAAACTACAAGTCCCATGACTCCATAGCATAGAGCCATGGCAGTTAAAGTGATGTCAAACGGCATTCATTCTACAGTGTGGATGCACCCTCCATCAAAGGAGGCAAGTCAACCTCTAACTCCGGCAAAACGTCTGGAGAGTATGCTTCTGGAATATGGCCATGCAGTCCGGAAAACTCACAGCAACCCAACAGTGATATGAAATAAAATGAAAAAAATGGTTAGTCTTAAAGTTACCATGAGAGTTCTTTTTCTTTTCATTGCTTTGATTCACATCCTGATAAACAACTTACAGACATGGAATGTGGTAGAAAGCAAAGATGTTAGCATCTTTCTTGTGAAATTTAAAATGCTAGACATAGAAATAAAACTTTATTGCTATTCTCGGCCAGCTATGAAAGCCCTAAACTTGCAGTATATGCAATAAATCTCATGGAAGTTAATAGACTGAGAGTCAAAGTGGTAGTAGACCCTTTATTTTCTGAACACACTGAGCAGTTAATATCCACTAATGATGCCTTAGAGAGCATCTCACAGGACTATTTTTGTGGCACTAATGGCCACCCCCCCAAAAAAAATCTCCCCATTTTTTTTGCTCCTAATACTTTAAGGTGCTCTTCAAAAGAGTTAAAAAATAGTTTGCCTCAAAATGACCTAAAATTCCCAATCTGGTGAAAGTGTCTGTATATCCCCTAGAGCAGTGGTTCTCAACCTTTCTAATGCCGTGACCCCTTAATACAGTTCCTCATGTTGTGGTGACCCCCAACCATAAAATACTTTTGTTGCTACTTCATAACTGTAATTTTGCTACTGTTATGAATCGTAATGTAAATATTTGATATGCAGGATGTATTTTCATTCACTGGACCAAATTTGGCACAAATACCTGATACGCCCAAATATGAATACTGGTGGAGTTGGGGGGGGGGATTGATTTTGTCATTTGGGAGTTGTAGTTGCTGGGATTTATAGTTCACCTACAATCAAAGAGCATTTTGAACTCCACCAACGATGGAATTGAACCAAATTTGGCACACAGAACTCCCGTGACCAACAGAAAATACTGGAAGGGTTTGGTGGGCATTGACCTTGAGTTTTGGAGTTGTAGTTCACCTACATCCAGAGAGCACTGTGGACTCAAACAATGATGGATCTGGACCAAACTTGGCACAAATACTCAATATGCCTAAATGGGAACACTGGTTGAGTTTGGGGGAAATAGACCTTGACATGTGAGAGTCCAGGATTTCGATGGGGGCGGGGGGGGGGCGGGGCTGAGTCTGAGTGAAAGAGGGTCTACCCTAGCAAACCTTTTGTATCATTACCCCAATATCCCCATGCATATGGGATATATTGAGTATGGTGATCAGATCATGATATGAATAAACATAACAGTTTAAATAATGCACCAGTAAGGCCTTTTCGCGAACCACCATGAGAATTTCGGGGGGGGGCTGAAGCCCCTCAAGCCCCCCCCCCCCCGGCTACATGCCTGACTGGGAGTGTGGAAACAGACCTTGACATTTGGGAAATGTAGTTACTGGGAGTATTTTAGTTCACCCACAATCAAAGAGTATTCTGAATTCTGCCAACGACAGAATTGGGTCAAACTTGACACACAGAACCCCCCCCCATACTAACAGAAAATACTGTGTTTTCTGATGGTCTTTGGCAACTCCTCTGACGCCCCCTCGCGATTCCCCCAGGATCCCGACCCCCAGGTTGAGAAACGCTGCCCTAGAGGACAGTTGGCAGCAAACAAAATTTGTTTGTTTATTTGAGTGATTATAGTGAAGTTGTGGTACTCAAATGTCTCCCCCGCCTCAATGCAACTCCATCACCATCCATAGTTGGATGCGTTAGAGCAGAGGTCAGGTCAGGTCACAGTCCCTCAAACTGTTGGAGGGCCAGATTATAATTTGAAAAAAAAAAACAACATGAATGAATTCCAATGCACACTGCACATATCTTATTCACTGTGCAAAAAAACACTTTAAAACACTACAATAATTAAAATGAAAAACAATTTCAACAAATATAAACTTATTAGTATTTCAGTAGGAAGTGTGGGCCTGCTTTTGGCTGATGAGATAGGGTTGTTGTTGTTATTGTGTGCTTTCAAGTCGTTTCAGACTTAGGTTGACCCTGAGTGAGGGCAGGTAAATGACCTTGGAGGGCCTTAGTTTGAGGACCCCTGTGTTAGAGGGATAAGCCTTGTTTAGTACGTTTGTATGATAATCTTCACAAAACTCTTAATTTTCATATCTGTGCTTGGCAGCCGCTTGACATCTTTTTTTACTGCCAATGATTTAGTGACTGCTGTCTCTTCTGTGAAATGTCTCTTGCTGTAGATAGTACTGGGAAGGAGACACCATCATTATAATCTTGTTTTAAAGTAGAGAAAACAACTATTTTCTGATTGTAGTGATTTATTTTTTACTTTCGTCTCTCCCTGCTTCAACGCTGAATCTACTTAATCTGCAATCGACATAATCTTCTTTTGTCCTTGGAGATCTGTTGTCTGATCTATTTTGTAAGAGATTGTAATGGGTGTTGTATTATGATTGTTATTAGTACAATTTCTGTGGAGTATATTTCCCCTTACTGCATCTATTATTATAATGGGAAATGGGTTCTGTGAGCCAGTATTTTGGACCAGTTTTGGGACAATTAGTCATTCCTCTGTATGCTAAGCAAGTGCATTGGTGAGTCACTGTCTCCTTGCAGACAGAGTAAAAAAAAAAATAGGAGGGATGCGAACCAGCATCTTACACAATTTCTTCAATGTTCTGAGTCATTTCTGCTTACCTCACCGACAAAAATAACACTATGCAGATCCGAAATCTTGTTAGCACTCTTGCAAAATCATTTGTCACTAAAATCCAGGCACTGGTAATTATTATTGGAAATGATGCAAAATCCAGCTTGACCATAGGATCCCAGGTTGCTCGCAGTACAATTCTGCTGCTGCCTTAGTGGAAGCATTAACAGCTCAAAAGAAATCCTGTTCTGTTGCTTTGCAGCTGTACTGCACACTCTAAAAATCCAGCATTTGGCAATTGAGTATTCATGGAGAAGTGAATACTGGGATTGTGGCTGTCATCCCTCAATAAGGTGGGCCATGTCACATACTGCTGCTCATAATTCTGAATTCAGGTTTAGCTCCTGAGAATAAGTACCAACATAATTCATAAACAGGCAGTCCAGTCGTGTCCATTGATGTACCTGCTTTTTAATAGAAAGAGAAGTTTGTATTGTGACAGCTAAATTAGCACCGTATAATGAGGTCGAAGGCTGTTTAGAGCCGTACAGCTGTCGTGCCCAATCTATGCAGCTGTCATGCCAGGAATTTCGTTCGGGATCAGATTCCGGAGCAGGAAGCAAAGATCAAAACCAAAGAGTTATCATAGTCAAGGATAGGTAGCTCGGTACTCAAGATCAAAATCAAGCAGGGCAAAGTGAGTCTGTATAATACTCAGAATTGGATTTAAGGACTTCATAACATCTTATGCACCCCCAGTTGTCTCTTGGAGTTTAGCCATCAGTATTCAAGGTCTAGGAGCATATAATTGTCTTCAGGGTGCAGTTTGAAGGGCGTGTCAGCACCTTATATCAATTCTGCAATTGCCCTTCAGCTTAATATTATTAGGAAGGTATTGTACTCCGAATGAATACTGTATACCATATAAAATGTTACATTTAAATTGGTCTGCTGTAAGTATGGCTCAGTCTTCATTTCTTGCTTTTTAAGGTCCTAGGTCTTGATGATTCTGCATGAAGCTTGAGGAGGCCATGGCAGGTAGGAGAATTATGTGACCAATATTATATTACAGATGCTGAAAAAATGAACTTTGTAAATTCATGTTTGTTGCTGCCTGTCTTTCAAGTCATTTCTGACTCATGGTGATCCTAAAGTAAATATTTCAGGTGTTTTCTTGGCAAGATTTGGTCAGAGAGGGTTTGCCTTGTTTGTTGGTGTAATGAAAATCAGGCATAGTTCATTTTTATTAATCCACGCACTGTCTTGCCAGAGAAAGAAAATATGCCAATTATCTATAAAGTACAAGAAGTTTACTCTTTGTAATGCAGGACAACATATTTACAATCATGAGATCAGTTGCATTGACTCACACAATGTCCTTTTGAGAGATATAAATGGTCTTTCGGTGTCCATGTGGAAAACTTCTTCCAGCAGCTCACGAAGCAAGAACTCTCTCTCTCTCTCTCTCTCTCTCTGCAATCACCTGCACAGCTCAGCCTAAACATGAAACTGTTGTCAAAATTCCCAGGCTCAGCTAGCTCCCTGAGCGTGGCCCAACCAATCAGCTTTGTGCTTTGCATTTTACAGTTAACACACTCACTAAATGATTTCTTACATGCCCCAACATTGTTTTCCTATGAAGCAGAGAGAACATGACTTGCCAAAGGCAATCCAGTGGGTTTCAATGGCTCTTCCAGAATCTTAGTCCAGTGTTCAAACCACTCACTGCACCATGCTGGCTTATTGTATGGAAATAAATAACACTACACAATAGTGTGTTAACTATGGCAGTATTATCCTGATCTGGAATGTCCTGGTGTCAATCCAAAACACTAATACCACATTTCAGTGTGCATTACTGTACAGAGGGAAATGTGTTATTTTATTCATCAGATAGTTCATGATTGTTATGCAGATATACACATCCCTGTCTTGGTGTATGGTTACCACTAGAGCAGAGGAATGCACATACGTAAACATTGTATGCACAGAAATCTTTATGCTGAGCACAGGCACATTTTCCTATCCCTTGTACATGATCAGATATTATAGCAATGGAGGGATGGCTACAATAATTTGCTCCAGTGTGGATGACACAATAGACAATGTTATTCCTTCTGCTTTCCTTACAGAAAGTCTATAATTACTTGACAATAATTTTGTTAACTTCTTCATTGTGCAGTAAATCTGAAACGGTCCAAAGCAATTTGTTTTATCAATCAAGCTATCCAAAGTAAAGCAAAATGATTGATTCAGTGAGATTTAAATGGAAGCAAGATACACACATTCAGAGATGCTTTTATTGATCTGTTCATTTAGCTGTGACAAGAGTAAGGAAACAAAGGCCCTAATTGCTTGTTCTGCGCTCATTCAATATGTGTGTGTTTCCTCAAAAAAAAAAATCTGCTTAGTCTACATATGTTTTCCCAGAGTGCATGATGTCACTAATCTCAGTATCCTTAGATGACTCGATAATAATTTTGGCATAATATCTCTCTTTCTGTCTCTGTCCCTTTCTTGTTATCCTCAAGGACAATTCCAATTAATTAAGAAGAGGAAAGTAGCCTGAGTTTTAAAAAAAGAACAGTAGCAAGGTCAGAATGTGCATCAATTTGCATTGGCGACTAAGTCAATTCAATTAGCATTGCTATTGCCACCTCAGACTCTTGCAGTAGAGAAGACTATGCATATCTTCTCTTCCCTGCCAGTATTTTTCTATTTTCCTTTATGCTTCGTATGGTATTTTCTTAACACCTCCAGATAGTGTTAAAGCAATGTAGCATTCTGTTTTGTTTTCTCTGTAAATACTTGTGTACCATCCAATCACATTCTCTTTAGCTGAGGTTTAGAAGAAAGTGGGGAATTGTTAGCATCCTGCTTATGAGTTTACATTAGCAAAGGAATGCTCGCAATTGAAATATGGTTTGCAATCTACAGTAATCCCTTTCTTTATTTTGAGAACTAAATTATGATGGGTGCTCTGGAGGAAAATGGCAATCAAGATACTCCAAATTGTAGTAAAGTGCTGCTGATGGTCAAAGGAAGAGAGATTGCATTGAAATCACTGAATCCACAAATGCATCTTACTGTTTTATCACACTTGTGTGTGTCAAAGGGGCCATCCATACACCCAGAATATCAAGGCAGATAATCCACAATATCTGCTTTGAACTGGGTTATCTGAGTCCACACTGTCATATAATAATAATAATAATAATTAATAATAATAGGAGCACAATACTCCTGAGCTCATGATCGTGTTAAAAAACAAAGTATGGATCGTCAATGTTGCAATCCTAAGTGACAGCAGGATTGAAGAGAAACAACTGGAAAAGCTGTCACGATATGAGGATTTAAAGATCAAACTGCAAAGACTCTGGCACAAGCCAGTCAAGGTGATCCAATACAACAGCCAGCAGACTGTCTGCTGTGGACTCATCTTGTTTTGTTTCAAATAATAATAATAATCATTATTTATATTCTGCCCTATCTCTCTGAGGGGACTTAGGATGGATTACAGTACACATATACAGCAAACATTCAATCTTGTTATACAAAGACAGACACTACATAAACAGGTAAAGGCTTCCCATCTTTTTCCATCTCCGACATCTGGAGGCTTGCTTGACTATGGCCACAGGGGGTGGTGTTGCTCTTCCACGCTGAGGAGCTTTTTGTCCTTGGATGCTCTACTGGTCGAATCGCCAGCAGGTCTGCATGGATTCCATGCACACACACGCACACACACTGTATTTGTATACCAACCTTCTCAGCCCTCAGGCGACTCAGGGCGGTTGACAATGGCAACGATTCGATGCCCAAAAACACCATAAAACGTTTAAAAACATTAACACATAATATAAAACCATAAAAAGGATATTAAAACATTATTACCTCCCTGCCAAAGTGGTATCTATATTTATCTACTCACTGTTTTCAAACTGCTAGGTGAGCAGAAGCTGGACTGATGGTTAGGAGCTCACCCCAACCCAATCTTGAACTGTCGACCTTTTGATCTGCAGGATTTTTTGCAGTTGGCGGTTTAATGCACTGTGCTAAAACCCAGTTTAATGTGGATTTTGTACAGCTGAGTGGAAAGGGTCAAAGTAAACCTAGCATCCCAAGAGGTTTTTCTTGTTGACTCTATGGCTGCTTTTGTAAAACTCCTTGAAGATTTATTGAGATACTTGTTTTAAATACATTAAGGACAAAGGGTAATAAAAGACAGGTCATAACATTTCATAGTAACACAAAAGTAATTTCCATTGAGATCCAGTTGTTCCTGTCTTGTGTGAAGCAAAATGCTCCTTTATTTGGCAGAGAGCATTACTTTCCCCAATATCTGTACTGTGCTGTATAAGTGAAGTTTCCCAATTGTAGTCCAGTGAAAGAGTTTTACTTCTGTTGCAGGTTGAAATCTCAAAGAATTAAGTCCTTCCTCTAAGGATGTAAGACTTACAGGGCTCGGTGGCCTTGTGAGGATTAAGGACTCTTTTGTTGGCCTACTACTGTATTTCAAGATTTATTTGCAAATTTTAATTTAGCTGCTGTGACAAATTAAGGAGGATGTTAGTGCAGGTAGAATTACATCTGATTGTAACTTGCAAGGTATCTCTTGTGTGACTGCTACATACAGACACATCATTTAGTACTACTGAGCTTGGAATCAGTAATGCTGTAGTGCGAAACTGTTAATTAAATACTAAAAACACGGATGAAGTTGACCTGAAAAGTACAATATAAAGTTGTTTTCAAGATGATTTAGGATAATTTATGCAACTTTTGTGACAGTTGAAGCCATAATATTTGGTGACTCATTTCTGACTCAGGCGCCGAGTTATAAAAATAAAATCCAATGAAAGATTCTGCTCTTAGGAAATAATAAAAATGTATAGGTTGGCGCTTGGGATGTGTTTTATCTGTGACAGCAGATGTTCATGAGTAATTTTAATGTTTGTTCAATCATGCCAATAATGATTTAGGGAAAGAAAATTAAATGGAGACCCCCACAACTACAGAACCCATTCCCGTGTTTTCACCTACCCCTCTAGGAATCTCTAGTTTTTCCGACACAACTCTATATTATGGTTGGGCTAGAAGTGATGTAATTCATGGTATTTCTTTGTATCAGTGGTTTCACATAATTGCAGTATGGCTGGGCACAAAGCTTTTGCAGATGCAGATGCAACGATTTTAGTAAGGAGATGCTGAGGATCTTGTTTTTACAGATATTTGTTATGGCATCGAATTGCTGCCGACTGTTTACCGCCTTGAGACGCCTCTGGATGAGAAAGGTGGTATACAAATGCGGTAAATAAATAAATTAATAAAGTCTTACTGTAATAATAATTCAGATGAAACCTATATCCCATTGAAATCAATGTCAAATGCCCTGCTGATTTGAATGCTCCATGTCTTAATTGTAATGTATTTTTGTGAGCTCTCTGCAACTCTTCAGACTTTAGGGTATAGATATTTTGGAGCAATGAAGAAGAGAAGGAAGTTTCACATTCTATTTTTTTTTTCGTGTTTTGACTTCAGAAACTGCAAGTTGCTTTTGGTGTGAGAGAATTGGCCATCTGCAAGGATGTTGCCCAGGGGACACCCGGATGTTTTGATGTTTTGCCGCCCTTGTGGGAGGCTTCTCTCATGTCCCTGCATGGGGAGCTGGAGCTGACAGAGGGAGCTCAACCTGCTCTCCCCAGATTCAAACCACTGACCTGTCGGTCAGCAATCTTGTCGGCACAAGGGTTTTAACCCATTGTGCCACTGGGGCTCCACATTCTAGATCATTTTAAAAAGAAAAGCATTGTAACAAAAAAAAAGGAAAGGAAAAATAAAAAAGAAAGAAAGAAAAGTAAAGTAAAACATCTGTATATCTAGCTTTTGTTTTCATAAGAGGGAAACATGTCAGATTTTCTTATATTCATAGAATCTTAAAATCATAGAGTTAGAAGAGACCTCATGGGCCATCCAGTCTAACCTTCTGCCAAGAAGTAGGAAAATTGCATTCAAAGCACCCTAGACAGATGGCCATC